AATGATGAAATCAAGATTTTTCTTATGAAATGAAGGATGACTAAGATAAAACATCCTATCAACTAAATCATAAATAGTCCCAATTTTGTGTTGAGAAGGGTGGAAAGATAAAAAGTTCTGGTATCGACCAGAAAACGTAGGTTTATGATACCATTCGAAAATAATAGTATTATTCTGTATTAAAAGAGTCGTGTCTAAAAAGTTAATTTTGTCACCACCAATTTCGATTGTAAACTGTAAACGCGAGTGGAATGAATTAAAAATACGTAGGATGTCATTTATAAACTCTCTAGGTGCAGCTAAAAGAATGTCGTTAACGTATCTAAAATAAAATGGTAACGTCACCGGAATCATGTTAATTGCTCTTTCTTCCAAATCTTGAAGAACTAAATTTACAATGACAGGAGACAATGGGGAATCCATAGGACTCTCAAATGTCTGCTTGTAGGTTTATTATTAATGTAAAAAACGTAGAATTAAGAACAAACTCTAAAGTCAACATAAACTCATCCCGAGGAATTTTAGTAGAATCCCTAATATAGTGCCAACGCTTATCGACCGAAATCAAAGCCAAATCAAGAGGGACATTAATAAACAAAGAAACAGCATCCAAAGAAACAAGTCTCTGATGTGATTCAATGTGTTTAGATGAAAGAATTTTAACTAGTTCGAAACTATTATTAATTTTGCTTTTAAATTTTGCTTTTCAATTGCTCTTTGACTTGGTGATATTGGCGTCGACAGGAACGTTTCACATTTCTATAGTAGCTTACTTTTATTTGAGGTAATTTATAATTTAAATATTTATTTTTATATATTGATATTACAATTCTTACTTATTTTTGTTTTTTTGGGGTTTTTTAATGTTTAGAGTTATGACAGACACATCATAATTTTTGGATCAAATTATCTACAGTAAAATCACTGTTCTCTTAACGTTTTCGTCGATTGTAATGTCAAGAAGAACATTGAGATCTGTTTGTTTCGCCCGAGTCGCGATACCATCATTTTGTAATACTTTCTGTACAATCCTTGAGTAATTATATTTTATTGTAATTATCACTGAAGAGGGTTCACGATTGAGCCGAAACGTTTGATGATTTATGTTATATTCAATAAAGGATTTCTCTATTTCCTAACATAAGGAAGACTTTATCTATATGATATAATAGCACTATCACATCTGTGCTTGAACTCAAATTAGCCCTTTTATATATTTTTTTAAAATTTAATTTTTTTGTGTTCTTTGTTCGGTTTTTTAATTAAATAATTGAATTTTGTAATAAAAATATTCACATTCACATTTCAGATGTTTGTTTATTCTTCTTCTTCTACGATTAATTATTTTAAAAAATAGAAATTTAAAATAATGTTAATATTATTTTCAATTAAATTTTAAACTTAAACAATTTGAAAATTTAGATACGTTGCCTTTATATGTTATCCATTACAAATAACTTATATATTATTATTATTACTTATTTATTATTTCAAATATTATTACTTGAATTAAAACTCCCTTAAAATTAAATTTAAATTAAGGTTTAGAATGTGATATTAAATTAAATTTTCTATTTCAAAAATTTGCATACTATATCAATATCATCAAAATAAATAAAAATAAATAAAAACACTCATCAAAAAAAAAATTATTGCTCACCTCCGTGAGCGAACTTGGATTTTACAAATTATGAAGCAAGCACCTAACTCACGAAGCCAACTGCACTGGTTGGAAGTACAGTTATCGGGAAGGCGCGCCGCGGTGCGCTTCGGATATGGCCAATTTTCACAAATTTATTACTCCGAAACTAAGGCCTATTCTATCAAACGCCGGGACACGTATCTTTTTTTTTCATCTCCAGAATAATTAAAAAAATTGGGGTCGAAATCTTAGGGTGAGTCACCTGGTCCTCCCCTTGTTAGTACAGAATGCTGTTTCATGAGTTTCTTCATTTAACGCATTTAATTTATATTCTTATATTGATTTCCATCGACAAATTATGTATAAAAATATAAAGATTGTGTTACGTATGTACGTATACAGTTATTATCATATTTCAAAGATAGGTTAGGGTTAATTTTTTGGGAAGGGGAGTCTCTTCCCCGCGCATATACGTATACTATGCGCATTTATATGTACATATTAATGTATGCAGTGTCGCAAAACTATATGGCATTAATAAAACTATTTTTATTAATAATTTTTAAATAAATAACGAGCGACGGCTAGAACTTTTTAAAGGTTACTCAGGAGGGTAACCTCTACAACATATGTCAAGATCAAGGTCATTCGAGCTGCATCCCCTATATTACATAATTACCCTTGCTCGCTATTGAAATCTCGTTGTCTTAGCCGTCACACATAATCTTCGTACAGTAGTTTGTGAATCTCGGCTATTCTTTTTTTTATTATTTGTTATCTCAGGGACAATAATTCTTTTGTTATCTTGACATATCTAACTTTGTATTATCCAAATCAATCGATCTATTCGGTGTGAATATAGATGCAACAATATTATTGTTCAAGATACTTTATCTAGCATTTTTAAAACATATTTTTTCAAGATTAATATAAAAATAAAATATTTTTATGCAGATTTGAGGATCGATGCTCAGACTCAAGTTCACCCAGATACATTACTTCGCTGGCTGCAAAAACAAGTTGCAATGTACGATAAGATTCATGTCGAAGACATGGGTGCCTCCTTCAAAGATGGTTTGGCTATTTGTGCGATTATTCACCGATACCGTCCAGATTTAATCGATTTTTATAATTTAAATGCAGAAGATCTAGTGAAGAACAATCAGCTTGCCTTTGATACGCTGGAAAAAGAATTGGACATAAAACCGGTAAGTATGTTATGTTTTTAATTTTTTAGATCTGATATCCTAAATTAAAAAGATATTTTTAATATATATGCACAGAGCTTTAAAACAATTTAATATTATTTTTTAAAAGAGGAGGGTCAATAAGGTTTGTTTTCGGCCCTTTCCAAAATTGGACTAAAATGGGTGGAATAACTTTCTTAGACCTTTAGAAGTAATATTTAGTCGATTCCATCCTAAACGGGCGTATTTGGAGCTCTACCGGCATATATATATGTATATAGATATACAGAGTATATATAAAAAGTACCGGGACGATAAATATTACAAAAACTAGGCATTTTAGAAAAAATGTTTCAAATAAAAGCTGTAGTTATAATAATAATAAAGTAGTAATAAAAGTTGCGCACACACACGCACACAAAAAGAGGTATAAATCCGACCATGCAACCGCCACGTGGTACACCTTGGATAATGCTAATGCCAGCGGTACTGTTACTTTCTGCTTCATAAGTCGGAAGTACTTAATGACAAAATAATATAATTTTATTATGTTTTGGAAAATTCTCGAGATAAGCTACAAGAATATACAATAAAAAATAGGGTCCCATTTGAAAAATTGAAGATAACCTTGCTTGACGACGCCACCCAAGGTCAAACTCATAATGTCAGTACATAGATCTTTTGAACCCCTATAACTTTTATTTGAAACATGTTTTTCTAAAATGCTTAATTTTTGTAATATTTCACCGTTTCGGTACAGAATGTCTCAGAATAATCTACGAAGCTCTCGTGAGAACGTAGAGCTGGTTAAAATAAATACAAAAGTCCGTTTTAATAAAATAAATACAAAAGTACCGTTTTAATAAAATAAATACAAAAGTACCGTTTTGCGATATTCATAATAACAACCGAGAAATTAATCACGAAAGATTAAGGAAAAGCGTGCGCTGAATGGTAGAGGACGGACCGCGCGAGTCATAGCGCAGCCCAGTAATATAGCGCGCGAATGTCACGCGTGGCGATTGAAAGACAACGCATCACTATCTATACTTATATCGCTGCGCTCCTATATCTTGCCTTGGCGCGATGCGGCTCGAGCAGTCCGTCCTCTACCATTCAACACACGCTTTTCCTTAATCTTTCGTAATTAATGTCTCGGTTATTACGAATATCGCAAAACGGTATATGACTTTTATATTTATTTTAATCGACGTAAAATTCACGTCATTATCACGGCTGTCTGCTACCTAGGCTAGAATCAATTTTGATATGTAAGGATATCTTCAGGATATTGGTAGGATCAAATATTGTTATCTACATATCTGCACATGTTAATCTGTACATCCTATTGATATTTAATTATTACTTCTTATAGACACTCAAAAAGCGGACATACAGATGTCCTCGGTACTTCCTATATATATATTTTGGTTTTTACAGACGCATTCTTGATATTATTAAATCCCTCGTGATACATCTACTGGACATACATAGGATCAATTTTTGCTATGTGGGTACTGTCTATGTAATTGGTATAATTACTAGACAGTTCTGATATCCAATCTCTACTCAGAATATACAGATAATTTTTTATCTCGTTACTATTAATATGTAATCCGTTTTATCTAGTCACTGTTTATGTAATTGGTGTAGGTATTAGACAGAGCTCTGACGTCCAATTTCTATTGAAGAATTACCGATGATTTTCTATCTCGTTATTGTATAATCTTATTCGTCTAACTACTATCTATGTAATTGTATAGTTACTAGACAGTCTTGACATTCAAAAGACTGAGTAGGAATATTTAATCAGTCACGAGCTTTAGTCAGTGACTGGCTAGAAAACTTATCTAGTCATTACTATCTAACTACTAGTCTTGAAATCTGCTCTACTACATTTTTGCTCGGATACATTTTTGCTCGAGAAGTGGTCAATTGATGTCAAATGACTAAATAATGACATCTTTAAGACATCTTTTTGTGATGTCTTAATGACGTTTCTGTACAACGTCTTATTATTGACGTTTAAAGACGTCATTAAAACGTCATTAAGTCATCTTAAAATGTCGTCATCGGTCTGTGATATTAGATCGTCATTTTGACGACATTTTTGGTCATTCCTTGGTCATTTCTTGTTACAAACTGACCAGATTTGGACGTTATTTTGACGTGAGTCTACTACTTGGGTTAGCATCGTCATTGTTCCGTCATTTTCATGTCATAACCTCACGTCATTACTTGTCAGAACTGACTAAATTTTAAAGTCATTTTGACGTGTATCTGCTACCTGGAGTATGAAACAGGCCGCCTATATTTAATTTCCTATATTTAAATGCGTTACGAGATAAAATCACCATTGGAAAGGAAAGCCAGAATTTTCTATCAATTTCTATTTATTTTAAGCAAGGATAGCTTCAAAGTATTTTTTTATGATAGAATATTAATAAGATAGTTTAGTGGTGCATTTTTTTCTAAAATGCTTAATTTTTGTAATATTTCACCGTTTCGGTACTTATTATATATACTCTGTATATCTATATACGTATATACAGAATGTCTTAGAATAATCTACGAAGCTCTTGTGAGAACGTAGAGCTGGTTAAAATAAATACAAAAGTCCGTTTTAATAAAATAAATACAAAAGTACCGTTTTAATAAAATAAATACAAAAGTACCGTTTTACGATATTCATAATAACAACCGAGAAATTAATCACGAAAGATTAAGGAAAAGCGTGCACTGAATGGTAGAGGACGGACCGCGCGAGTCATAGCGCAGCCCAGTAATATAGTTTAATGTAATAGTTTAATGGTAAAGGTTCTTATAGAATTAAATACAATTTAATGTGATAAGATTATATTCAGGCGACTTCTCCTCATGATAGGATATTATAAATCGTCTGTTATAAGAAAACATTCAATGTAGGAGTTTGAAATGGATAATACATTATGTGAGTTATGATTATACTTGTTCTTATATATTATTAAAGAATAGCTTTAAATGAACTCTTATGAATATTATAAACAGTTTGTCATAAAATAATTATAAGTATTTGATAAAAATTGCTACATATAGAAAAATATTAACTGACATACAAACTTTCATATTTAATATTATTGAAAGAAGTATTATAAATTACACAGGTTTGCAAGGTTTGTTTGGTTAAGGTTGAAGAGTTATTTACGACATATTTTTTCACGATAACAGATATTTTTTTTCGAAAAATCTGGGTTTTTACATATAAAATGCAATTTGGAACGTCCCAATATGTTTTTTTCGCTAATATATTACAAATTTAAATTTAATCCTTTCACAGCCAGTGATACATACGCTGTACCAAATTCAAAATAGCGGACTATTAAATATAAAAACCTGATATTCTCGTGAATTCGCTATACCGTTGAATGCGCGGAGTCCCGACTCAGTAGACGTCATCCAATCCTTAACAGAGGGTCTTCGCTCTTCCGTATCCTCCCTAACTAGGGACTTCCCCCCTGGACTCTCTATATTAGTGGCCATGAACTATTTAATGTCGCTATAACTCGTCGCAATGACAGGTTTTCTAACTTCAATAGTTACTAACTTTAACAATTAATACTTCGTTGGAAGAGGATGACGATTTTTGCAAATAGAAAAATTGTTTTTTGTGCGAAAATACGCAATAATACCAAGTTACACGCAAAACGATGAGGATCGTTTTCAGTATTACTAAAAGTTCTATATTGGAAGAACAATGTGCCGCTGCCTATGTTTATATCACCGCCTTGTCTTCCCTCTCGTCGTCTTCGCGCGCTACATTATTGAGTCACACTACAGTTCGAGCGACTCGACCACTCTTCCTCCTGCCAATCAGTGCACGCTTTTTCTTTGATCTTTTACAATTAATATTTCTGTTATTATTGTGATATATTGTTATATTGCGATATTGCTATATTGTAAAACGATATAGAACTTTTCTGTTCACCTCAGTCTGTTTTACAAAATCAGTCTGTTGCCACAAAAATTGCGAAAGAGAGTCTGGGATATCCTGTATAAGACCTAATGTACAGGGAATCTGGGATATCCTGTATAAGACCTAATGTTGTACTTACATATAGATTAGTACGACGGGTTGCTTCGTCAGCAGGCGTGCGTGCTGTGTCACAGTAGACCTTGGCGAAATTGTCACGCACGCTTTCTTATAAAATTTACTGCTTTCTTTCCAAGTTATCACGATCTTGACGGACTTACGATCAGACTATTAATCGGTTATGACAGAAATAACAATATTATAAGATGTAAAAATGGGTGTGATAAGAATAATAATAATGGGAGATAGAGGTTTTATTTTAATAAAGATCAATCACACATTTTGTAGCCCTCGACTTTCACCTTTTACTGATACGTTTCTTATATATTTGTTTATAGAATTTTACAATATTTATGTGGACACGATAACAACATTATATATACAGGGTGTTTCGCATAAAACGTCCAAAAAAAATATAAGTACAACCGATAAAAGTGAGCAAATATTGTAGAGGTCATTTTTCAAACAACCACGTCAAATTTCGAGATATTAATTAAAATAGTTGGAGCGCGGCGACAAGGCAGGCGGGACATACGGCTCGCCGCGGTCGGCGAAGAAAATAGACGATTGCTCGCGGGCTTTCACGCAGTGTCAGATCTAGTCCCCACCTCTAGGCTTATGAGATATTGTCGCTTCGGTGAAAAGCCATGTTAGCCGTGCTACCCGTTATCCACGTTATACTTTATATGCGACACGGCTCCATGATTCTCACTTTGCATCGCAATATTTCGGAAACAAAGGTTTATTCACCCAAACCCTTTTGATACTCTATATTACGGCTTTTGAATGCGCTATGCCTCGTTCTGAAATCAATTTTGCAGTTGGCGTCACTTTCTTGTTAGTACTTAGTGAGTACTAAGTACTTTCCAAAAATATATACATTTTTGTAAAGTAGACGTAATACTTCGTGAGTATTTCTTGTAAGATTTGATATTTGTATGTAAAATTGTTTTTAGAGAGGGAGAGAGAAAGGGACCTAGGAGAGGGGGAAAAAAGAGAATCACAATTTAATAAAATTTAATAATTTATAATTTATAATTTGTCATATATACACACAACATGCGTCATTTTATGTAGTATTTACTACAGATTTGTATTCTTTCATTCTTTATCTTTATATTGCAAGTTAACATATTTTCTCCGAAGCACGACACGTTTCACTTTTGCAAAAAATAACTCGAAATAAATGTGTTAATAACATCCTTATAGACAATGAACATTAATTAAAATCTATAAAAGATTACTTAAAATCCTGTTGATAATTGAAAGTTCAAATACTAATTTTTGGATCTTTTTATTGACAGTTATATTCTGACGACTATATTTTGACTTATTATCATCTGTTTTCTTTATTATTATTTACTTTATTTAATTTCTCAGCTTTTATATTTGAATTATAATTTGCATCATGATAAATAAAAATAAACATAAAAACTAAATTAAAAGATATTAAACTGATTATGTTTACGATTATAGGTAATGACGGGAGAAGAAATGGCTCAATGCGACGTTCCTGATAAACTTGTCATTTTTTCTTATCTAACGCAAATATATGAAGCTTTCCGAGGCGAGATTCCATATGTGAAACATCCAAAACTAGTGAGTAATTATACAGCTTACTTCCTTTACAGAAAAAATATTCTTGGTTAATCAGTAATAAATTACTGTTGCTCTGTAATTTTATTACTAATGATTTTATGTACTTAAATTACAGCATTATTAGTACTTCAGAGTAAATTAATTGTTATAGTGATACTGATAATTTCTGATATATTACTAACTTTTTGTGATAAATTATTAGTATGTTTTGTAGTATTAATTTCCTTTTGAGAGTACTAGAGAGAATTAATCGCACAGCATTTGGTATAATAAATCCTTTTATTGTGCTATACAGAGCAAAACAGAACATAGTAGAGTGAAAAACATAAGAAAAACTACATCATTGCACGTTTACATGGGTACTCTCTAACTTCCTAATTAACTCACTGGAGCGCGCCTCCAGTGAGCCAGGTTGACCACCACGAATCACAAGAACAAAAATACTCTGAGATCACATATATATCTCCATCACCTCCACTTGAGTTCAGATTACTATAAACGTATTAAACAAAATTAATTTGATAATCGGCCTAATCCCATTTTCGCGTTACAAAGTTTTAGTTTATCGTCGAAGGCACCCTTCGTGCTAGAGTTATCTGTCATTTCTTTAGTGTTTAAGTGGATTAACTCAACAATTGTATCATTTACTTTTTCCTTAACAAAATGATGCCTTGTATCAATGAATGCTTTGAACGCACGTGATATACACAAAGTTCTGTCAGTTTTATGGCTTTTAAATTGTCATTGTATATTACTATTGACTGACTTGTTAAAGAAGGATTAATTTTTTCGAAAAGTGAGCGAAACCACAATGCTTCTTGACAGGCAGTTACAACTGCTAGATACTTCGCCTCCGTAGTTGATAGAGCCATTGTTGATTGCCTTTTGCTGCTCCATGAAATGGTTTGTAGAGTCAAAACGTATCCAGTAGAATACCTCATATCCAAATCTCCGATCCAGTCTGCATTATTGTACCCTATGAAAGTGGGATTTTCGTGCGAGGAGTATGTAAATTTATACTCCTTCGTTCCCTTTAGATACTTAAATAATCTTTTCAGCGTATTCCAGTGCGCTTTGCCTGGATTCACCATTAATCTGCCCAATAAAGTTATTGCACTTGCTATGTCTGGACGTATGCCTTGATTTAAAAATATTAGGGCAACAAGCGCTTCTTGATAGGCAATTTTATTCATGCCTTCCATTTCTTGTGATGTTGGTCTTGGGTGACATTTCTTTGTCCAGTTTTTTATTTGCTAAGTGGGGTAATTGCTAGATTACATTCCGACATGTTGAATCTTTCTAGGATCTGTTCTATATATTCGGTCTGATCTATCGAAATAGTGTCACCATTTCGATCTCTACAAATGTTGATTCCCAGGAACTTGGACACTTTGGCTAAATCTTTTATTTTGAATGTTGATTGTAATTTTTCCTTAATCACGTTCTTCAAGTTTGCCTCGTTTGAGAAGAAAAGTAAATCATCAATATACGTAGCGATTATTGCCAGTTTGGAATTTATTTTCTTAATAATATAGACTCTTTGATCGACCTTAGAACGTGCAAAAACCGTCTTGATGAGAGTTGCATTTAATTTTTTATTTCTTGCATACTCTCCTTGTTTTAAATCATATAAGTCCTTCTTCAATTTGCAGATTTTTTCTTTCTATTCTCGTACCACGAAGCTCTCAGGTTGCTTTATATAGATTTCTTCTTCTAGGTTTCCATGTAAGTAAACTGTCATCACATCTAGGTGTTCTACATCAAGGTTGTATTTTACTGCTATACTTTGCAGTTCATTTATCTAAAGCTAATGGTGTTTTATTATCCGATGAGCTGCTGGTGTCCTCTTCTTTATCTGAGAGATATATATTTTTCGGTCTTTCAAAATCCCCTTTTTTAAGGAAAACTACGTTTCTGTTCTTGAACACTTTGTTTGTTTCGAGATCGAGTAGAAGATACCTCTCGTCTACTTCCTCTTCGAGATAGCCAACAAATATGCATCTTCGTGATTTTGCGTCCCATTTTCTCCTTTTTTTTTCGGAATATGTACCATTTCCTTACAACCGAAATACTCATAGGTGATTGAAGTTTAGGTTCTTCGAAGTCCATGTTTCTTCTGGTGTCTTGAACTTTAGTAACTTTAGTAGACTGTTTAGTAGGTGAACGATTTATTAAGTATACTGCTGACGATATCTCAGCCTAGAATTTTGTCTCCAATATGGCAGAATTTTGTCTCCTCTAGTAGACAGCGTGCCTTCTCTACTATTGTTCGATTTGCATGTTCCGCAACCCCATTTTGCTCCGGTGTGTACGGGACAGTTTCATAACGTATCACACAGTTTTTCAAATAGAAAATTCGTTATTTACGTACTCTTTTCCGTTGTCTGAGCGAACTCATTTTATTTTGTGTCCTGTTTTTTTATTTTGTGTCCTGTTTGTTTTTCAGACATCGTTTTAAAATCCTTGAAGCATTTTAATGCTTGACGTTTGGATTTCAAGAAATGCATAAATATTCTCCTTGAATAATCCTCTATAATTGTCATGAAATATTTAGATCCTATTGACTCCTCCTATTGACTTGACTTTTATCGGTCCACATATGTCTATATGAACCAATTCGAGTAATTGTCTCGCTCTTTTTCCCGATATATGAAATGGTTCACGTGATTGCTTACCCTTCAGACATGTGATACATGGTCGTCCCGATAGATCATTAAAGCTCAATTCCTCTGCATACTTATCTCGTAATAATTTCATGATTCATCTATTTAAGTAATAGAACTTTCTATGCCATAGCATGCTATCCTTGTTTTCTTTACAAGCGAGTGCTCTTCTTGTTAGTTAATTTAGACGATACATTTCATCAGTTAGACTTCCACTTGTCATTGATGACATCTTTTTATCGTAAATTGTACATCTTTCTTTGTCGAAAGTTGCAGTAAAATACTTTTGCGTCATACGACTCACTGAAAGAAGATTCGTTATTATCTCTGGAATATAAAGCACGTCTTTTACTATTATTTCATTTACTATTATTTCATTTACTATTATTTCGTTTACTATTATTTCGTTTACTATTATTTCACTTCACCATTATTTTGTACTTTTTACGTCACCTACTCCTTCAACGTTTAGTTTAGCATTGTGAACAATCACTATTTTTTATCTCTTATAGAGCGTTAAATTTGTAAAAAGTTCTTCACATTTTGCCATGTAAGTAGATGCGCCGGAATCTATGTACCAAGCTTCGTCAACATCTTCATGTTTTCCTGAGAATGGTTCTCAGGAAAAAAAACTTTCGGAAAGTTATAATTTTTGACAGTTACTGTACAAACATTTACAGTTACTGTTGATGTTCGAAAGTTCTGTGCAATCACTTTTATGAATTATGGCAGTTACTGCCACCTATTAGTAACTGTCAGCGTTTGATAGTTTTCTAAATTAACTGGAAAATGACAACTTTCAAAAGTACTATTGGTCTATAGTATTTTGCCGGAGATATAAATTGGTCTACAGTATTTTGTCGTATATTTTTTATATTTTATTTTTTATTTTTTTAGATATAAAGTTATAGTTTTAAAGAGTCTTTTTTCTGATAGTTACTATTGATGTACAATCGTTCACAGTATTGTTTAAACAATAAATTTTGGCAAACAGTTTGTGACAGTAACAACTCCAAAAATACTCTTTACCACAATCGCACAACAAAACTGAAATAAAAAATATGGATAAGCTGCGAAAGACATAAATTACATATACAGCTGATATATTTTAGATGTGCTCTGCAGTTAGTCCTGACAGGTATTTTGTCGGTTTTGTATGTTTCTTTGAAACTATATGCGATTTTGACAGTTTTCCTTACAGAAAATATTACAATGGTAAATAGATTAATAATAAATTTCTACTGCTCAGTTTTATTACTCGTACTCGTAATAATTTTTTACTGATATATTTATCATAGCTAGTAATACTTTCTGTAAAGAACCTGTCACAGCACCGAACATTGCAATAAGATTATGGGTAGATTACAAGTTTACACATTTTAATGAGCATGTTACTGCAATGTGCCATTAACCTTACAAGATAAGTTTACATTACAATATGTATATTATAATATTGTCAAAATTAATACAATCTTTAATATTTCAGCAAATTCACGTGTAATTATTTTATTTTTTGTGTATCCTGAAAATATTATACAATATATAACAATTTTTTTATTAAGAAAGTAAATATAACTAAATTAATACTAGATTTGAGGCTTTCACGGCCATTGATACAATGTCTAGATATAGCTTCCGGAATGGAGCCGTGTCTTGAATCAGCGATATGCCGACGTTTCGCAAACGTTGCAGTTTGCATCATCAGGGCTGAGAACTCTGATACTCCAGAGTTCAGAGTTCTCAGCCCTGATGATGCAAACTGCAACGTTTGCGAAACGTCGGCATATCGCTGATTCAAGACACGGCTCCATTCCGGAAGCTATATCTAGACATTGTATCAATGGCCGTGAAAGCCTCAAATCTAG